ACAAAAAGAAAGAATAAAAAATATTTAGATTCTTGATGAATTTTGTTTCTTATTCGTTTGTTTTATATCTTTTGTAAAGGGGCTCGGTTAATAAAAAAGTGGATATAGAAATAGAATTGGATATTCTTAATTGTTCTGAATCTTTGCACAATGGTCCCCATATTGGAAAGTACAAAGTCAAAACTGGCCAATAACAAAATTCCTAGTGAAAAAAATAAATAATAATTATTATTTTCAGTATTTCAGTAATATATTCATTAATTAATATTACTATTAATTCCTATGTTAGGTTAGTTATTTTTTAATTTATATATATATTAAGAAAAATGACTATTAATAATTGTAAAATAAAAATTTTTATCTCTTATCTATAGAGCGAGGATGAGGATAAATCAGTACACCAAAACTAACAACATTTGTTTATTTTGATATACATTAGAAAAATAATATAATATAAAATAATACTTTTTTTTTATTCAGAAACATTAGTTCCTTTTTGAACTAATTGATTCTTTTACATTACAATAAAAAGAGATCCATATATATCTATTATCTATGAAAAATTTGGAAAAGGTTTATAATATTCAATGTTTTTACTTTACCTTTCGATGGAAAAAAAGAGAAAGAGTTAATTTAGATAGATAAGACATACGGCTAATTACAGAATAATTCGTTTTCATTTACAGAACAAATGTCTTTCACATCAAACTATAGCAACGAAAAAACTATACTAATTGTATGCCAGTTCCAAAAAAACGCACTTCTATATCAAAAAAAAAAATTCGTAAGAATTTTTGGAAAAAAAAAGGATATAAGGCAGCATTGAAAGCCTTTTCATTAGCTGACTCTATTTTGACAGGTACCTCAAAAAGTTATCGTATTGTAATAAATACAAAACCTCGCCCTTTTTTGCCACGTAATCAAAAAAAAAGTTGTGTTATTGTAAGAAATACAAATGTTGGACGAGAATAATCTGAATTAGCTCGATTCAAAGAGTATTCTTTAATAGTCATTTTATACTAATACTATTATAGAATATGAAACATATATAAACATATATTTAGAATATATTCTATATTATAGAATATAGAATATATTCTAGATATATATATAATCTCATTTTTTTGAATGATTCATAAGCAACTACAAAAAAAATTTCTTTTTCATTACTGGATTGAAGTCAGAACTAGATAGTTCTAGTTTCAACAGTGCTTTTTTTTATTTGAAAAAGTATAAACTACAAAAAACCCATTCCCCGTCGTTGTTAAATTTGAAAACGAACACTGCATGGGAAAAAAAAAAAGAAATGAATATAGAAATCAAAACTTCTTTTACTTAAATTGAAAATGATTGCATATATCATATATTTCTATATTCATTTCTATTATATATTAGAAAAAATTAAATTACTTTTTATTATCAATTTAGTTTTATTATCAATTGAGAATAAATGTTTAGTAAATAGTAAAGAAATGTACTCAATAAATATTGGACTTCACTTTATTCAATCTCGACGATTGACTATTGACTTTGACTAAATAATTGGTTATTATGATTTCGAGTCAGCCGCTATGGTGGAATTGGTAGACACGCTGCTCTTAGGAAGCAGTGCTAGAGCATCTCGGTTCGAGTCCGAGTAGCGGCATGGACTCCTACCCGATATTTTAAAAATTTTACAAGATTAATAAGTCCTATAATGAAGTCAATTTCCTATTTCTATTCCGAGTAGTAGATATCTGGCTACGAAAAATAAAAAAGTACGATCAAAGAAAATACAAAGAAATGGACCATATTTTTTGATAATGTATCTCAGATAAATTTTGACTATTCTTACCTATGAACTCCGCTAGATTCAACTTTTTGGTCGTTCAACCAACTAATTGAACCATTTGAATATTGTTGAAATATGAACATTTGTTATTGCATCGCAGAAAAAATCGAAACAAACTAGAATCATTCATTTTCATACTTCCTAGAATATACATCGATTCCTTTTTCATCTAGAAAGAGCATATCTCTGTACGCCTAGATAAATTATGTATAATTATTAAGACCACTAATCAATATGTATCTATTCCTCCCAATATTTGATTTTTGAAAAGAAATATGGGAATAGATACTCATACATAATGAGTCGCCGGGAACCAGATTTGAACTGGTGACACAAGGATTTTCAGTCCTTTGCTCTACCGGCTGAGCTATCCCGACCATTAAAATCTTGACGCACCATCCTAATTTGAGGGAAATTACTTGAGTCTATGTCAACTCAATAAAAAAAAGGGAAAGGGCCATAAAAATGAGCAAATTCAATCGGCTTTTGGGGATAGAGGGACTTGAACCCTCACGATTTTTAAAGTCGACGGATTTTCCGATTACTAAAACTTTCATTGATGTCGGTATTGACATGTAGAATGGGACTCTATCTTTATTCTCGTCTGATTAATCAGTTATTCAAAAGATCCATCATATTTTGGTGGAGTGACTGATTTGATCAATGAATATTCACCATTTTTTCTTCCAGTTGGAATTGATTTGATTCTAATGTTTCGTTTCAATTGTGATCGAATCAAAACTAAAAAAAATAGTTACAATTTACAAATAGAAGTTAGAAATCTTCATTAATCAATTGAATGTTGTCAACTCCATTTGTTAGAATAGCTTCCATTGAGTCTCTGCACCTATCCTTTTTTTCTGAACTTTTAGTTTTTTGTTTTCGGAAAGAAGGATTTGGCTCAGGATTGCCCATTTAAAATTCCAGGGTTTCTCTGAATTTGAAAGTTTTCACTTAATATGTTTCCATACCAAGGCTCAATACAATTAAGTCCGTAGCGTCTACCAATTTCGCCATATCCCCCGTTTGACTTGCTTTTCGTTCATCTAGAAGCTATATTTATTTAGTCGAGAAAGAATTCTCTTCTCGCTGTATTATATAGTACATGTTGTATTATATAGTAGATGCTGTATTATATTATGTTATGTTTTCACTTAACATTACTATGTTTCCATACCAAAGCTCAATACAATTAAGTCCGTAGCGTCTACCAATTTTGAATCGACCCTTTGACTAGCTTTTCGTTCATCTAGAAGCTATATTTATTTAGTCGAGAAAGAATTCTATTCTCGCTGTATTATATAGTAGATACTGTATTATATCGTACCGTATTCTATTTGAGATGTTGTATTCTATTTGAGATGTTGTATTCTATGTTGCAATTGGATTAGAATTGGAGTATAATAATATTGAACCATGACATAAGATAGATATCATATTCAGAGAATATGATTCCCTTTAAGGATGCCTTGGTGGTGAAATGGTAGACACGCGAGACTCAAAATCTCGTGCTAAACAGCGTGGAGGTTCGAGTCCTCTTCAAGGCATAATATTGAGATCTCTTATTGAAATTGAATTGGAATAAGTTCGCCAGCAGATCACGAAGTTTTGGTGATCTTATCTATCTAATGAATGGAGAGTACATTTTGAAATCGTCCCACCTGCAATCCCCCTACCCTAAACCAACGGATAAAGTACATTATATATTTGATTTTGGAGATTGGTGACTTACCCATTCAATGACTTTGGCACTCGACATTCAAAAAAATGGGTACTGTACGCTCGGGTCGGGTGAATTCCAAAATAGCCGCCTATGTCAACCTTCTTTCTCCTTTCAGGACAGGACCTATCCGAAAAGAAAGAAAATTCTGTACTTATTGGTCGTGAATATCTGAATAGGACAAATTACCCTGTGGATCTCTTTATTTGCTTCAAAACAAGTAGGCTCGGTCAACGGCAATATGGATTATCAATATTAGGGGATCTTTCAATTGAGAAGATCCCCTAATATCGACTTGAGACGACGAGAAAGAAAGTATCTATTTTATTTCATTTCATTATTCAGTTAAACCAATCGTTCGTTATTGGAACAGATAGTCACAACCATCTCGTCTGGGAAAAGCCATTTTTTTCTCAACAATGTCTTTGTGAGTTGAGCCAATAGGGTTCCGTTAGATAGGAACAGATTTGATAAATATTGATAACTCTCGTATAGAGTATTAGAACGAAAAAATTCATTTGATACTGAACTATTGGTTCTAAACCATCTCTGGCGATCAATCAACAATTTGAAATTCTGTTCTTGCATATTCTTCCTAAACCAGGGTTTATTTAGATATTTCCAATCAATTTTTTGGGTTTGGGAAGTCAAAAGTATCCTTGACATCTCTTCATCTGGAGAAAATTCTTGATGTGAAAATACAGATCCAAAAGGATCCTCTTGGAATAGCAAAAACAGTGGATCTGCGGGGTCCCAAATGAATTGGCTTATTCGAAAAAAGCCCTGTTCGTTGGAAAATCTCGCTCGTGTCTGGTCCTGCATGATTCCATCCTGCAAGAACTGCGAATCATTATCATTCTCTTGAAGCTTACCCTCTTCATCATAATCATCAAGGATCGGTTTGTCCTGAAATGACCCTTCCCAATAGGGAAATCTCAATTCATTGGACCCTTCGTCAAAGAGAAAGCCCCAAGGGCGCCACAGTCTCGGAGCCCAAAGTATGTGATTGAATAAATCCTCCTCTAGCGGTTGCGGGTCGAAGACTCCTTCCCCTTCTTCGAACCCCGATTCATATTTTTCATAGAGAAATCTCTGATCAACGATAGAAGAAGACCCATTTTGAATCATATTTAAGGGATTTCTTGGTTCGGACCGAAGAAGCAATGTCACGCCATCATTATCAAACCGACTTCCTGTCTGTGAGGGTTCCAGCAGAGCACCTTCTATTTCTAATAGCCCATGAACTAGATCAGAATCATTCTCAAGGAGTCTATAAGAAGTGATCCCATCATTTGTTTCATTAGGTCCGGGTAGAGACCAAAGATCTTGAGCGACCGATCCGGCAGAACAACTCAAAAGATAAAGAAGTATGGTTAATTTCTTCATGCTTGTTCCAAGTTGGAAGTACCATTTGTACAAATAAGAATCCCCCTCTGCACATGATTTCTT